GGGAGATTTGGGGAGTTTTCCTTGAGTTTGGGTTGGTTGAGTTTTGGGGGGGTTTGGTTGAGTTTGGTTGGGTGAATTCTGGTGAATTTTCCTTGAGTTTCTGTTGACTTTTGGTTGAGTTTCTATTGAGTTTTCAATGAGTTTGGTTGAGTTTGGTGAAGTTTGGCTGAGTTTCCTTGAGTTTTGTCGAGTTGAGTTTTTGTTGAGGTTTCCATTGAGTTTGGTGAAGTTTGGTTGAGTTTCCTTGAGTTTCTAATGAGTTTGATTGAGTTTGGAGAAGTTTAGTTGAGTTTCCTTGAATTTTATTGAGTTTCCATTTAGAGTTTCTGTTGAGTTTGGTGAAGTTTGCCTGAGTTTCTGTTGAGTTTTGTTGAGTTGAGTTTCCAATGAGTTTGGTTGAGTTTGGTAAAGTTTGGTTGCGTTTCAGTTGAGTTTTGTTGTGTTTCTATTGAGTTTTCGTTGAGTTTGGTTGACTTTGGTTGACTTTGGTTGCGTTTCCTTGAGTTTCCTTGAATTTTTGTTGACTTTCGTTGACTTTCACTGGGTGATTTCCGTTGAGTCCCGTCACATCCCCCTTCTCTGACCTCCCTCCCCGTCTCCGTTGCCGCAGCTCCACGGGCAGGAGCCCTCCGGGAACCCGCTGAGCGCGGAGCCGAGCCAACCGCCGGCCAGCGTGGACCTGGACTTCCTGGAGGATGACATCCTGGGCTCCCCCTCGGGCGCCGGCGCCGGCGCCGAGCAGCCGTGCGACATCCTCCAGCAGAGCCTGCAGGAGGCCAACATCACCGAGCAGACCCTGGAGGCCGAGGCCGAGCTGGACCTGGGCTCCTTCCAGCTGCCGGCCCTGCAGCCCGTGGTGCAGGCGCCCGACGGGACCCCCCAGATCTTCTCCGGCGCCGCCGGCGCCGCCGACCTGCTGGGCCTCCAACCGCCCGCCGTGCTGGCCCACCAGGCCCTGGTGCAGCAGCCGGTGGGCGCCGACGTGGTCAACAAGGCCATCAGCGTCCAGCCCTTCCTGCAGCAGGTGGGGCTGGGCAACGTCACCATCCAACCCCTGCCCAACCTGCCCGGGCTGCCCAACGGGAGCCCCGGCGGCGCTCTGGGCATCGGGCCCATCCAGGTGGTGGGCCAGCAGGTGATGGCCATCAACCAGCCGGCGGCGCCGCAGCTGTTGGCCAAACCGGCGCCGGTGGCGGCCGTGGGCGGTTACATCGCTCAGCCCGAGGCGGCGGCGGCGGCGTCGCAGGCCGGGGCCGGCCTGGTCATCCAGAAGAGCCTCCCGGCCGTGGCCACCACCGCCCTGAACGGCAACTCGGTGTTCGGCGGCGTGGCCTCGCCGGCGGCGCCGCCGCAGCCCCTGGCCGTCACCTCGGGCCTGGGCGGCTCCCTGGTGCCGGCGCCCAACGTCATCATCCACCGCACGCCCACGCCCATCCAGCCCAAACCCGCCGGCGTCCTCCAGCAGAAGCTCTACCAGATCACGCCCAAGCCCTTCGCCCCCAACAACGCGCTGGCGCTGCCCGGCGACGCCCAGGCCAAGCCCCAGCAGAACCTGACCTTCATGGCCGGCAAGGCCGCGCCCAACGTGGTGCTCTCGGGCTTCCCCCCCAACGTCTTCAAGCCGCCGCCGCCCCAACCGGCGCCGGCCGCGGCGGCGACGGCGGCGCTGGGCAAGTCCATGAGCGTCCACGTGCTCAACCAGGGCGGCAGCATCGTCATCCCGGCGCAGCACTTCCAGGGCCAGAACCAGTTCCTGCTGCCGGGGCAGTTGGCCGGAGCCTCGGCCGTGCAGCTGCCGCAGCCGCTCTCGGCGCTGCCGGCCAACGTGGGCGGCCAGATCCTGGCGGCCTCGCACGGCGCCGGCATCATCGCCGGCCAGGGCGCCGCCGGCGCCGCCGCCGCCGCCCAGCTCATCGCCAACCAGGCGCTGCCGGCGCAGATCCTCACCAACCAGAACCTGGCCGGGCAGCTCAACCTCGGGCAAGTGCTGACGTCGCCCAACGCCCACGGCACCGCCCACATCCTGTCGGCGCCCATCCAGCTCCAACCGGGCCAGGTGGGGCAGCCGGCGCTCTTCCAGATGCCGGTGTCGCTGGCGGGGACGTTGCCCAGCCAGAGCCAGGCGGCGGCGGCGGCGCCCACGGTGATCCAAGGGGTGACGTTGGCCAACCAGGTGATGCTCAACGCCGGTGACGGGTTGGGAGCCGCCGTCAGCATCCAGGCGGCCCCCGGCGCCGCCCCCGGCGCCAGCCCCAGCCCCGGCGCCGACCCGGCCTCCGTCCTCACCGTCCAACCCGCCGCGCCCGCGGCGGCGGCGCCGCTGCAGCTCAACGTGCCGGCGGCGGCCGGGGGGAACTCCCAGCCCAGCCCGGGGCTCGCCGGAAGCCCCGAGAAGATCCTGTTGGGCCCCGCGGCCGCGCCCGGCGCCGTCCTGGGCCAGGAGTCCATGCAGATGTTCCTGCAGCAGGTGAGGGGCCTCTGCCCAGCGTTTATGGGGGGGGATTCCGGCCTCGGAGATGTCGGAGGGGCCCCGCGCCCGGGTGGGGGTCGCGGGCGAGTTGGGAGGTTGGGTTGGGGTTGGGGTTGAGTTGACGTCGAGTTGCCGTTGACCTTGACGTTGATGTTGAGATTGAAATTGGGGTTGGGGTTGAGTTTGAGTTGAGGTTGAGTTTGGGGTTGACTTGAGGTTGGGCTTGACGTTGACATTGAGGTTGAAATTGGGTTGGGTTGATGAGGTTGAGTTGGGGTTGGGTTGGGGTTGAGTTGAGTTGAGGTTGATGTTGAGTTGGGGTTGGGTTGAGGTTGAGTTTGAGGTGGACCTTGAGGTTGGAGTTGGGTTGATGTTGAGGTTGAGTTGGGTTAAGTTTGATGTTGAGTTGGGTTGTTTGACATTGAGTTGGGGTTGAGTTGGGTTGGGTTGACATTGACCTTGAGGTCGAGTTGGGGTTGAGTTGAGGTTGAGTTGAGTTGACCTTGAGGTTGAGTTGGGTTGATATTGAGGTTGGGTCGACGTTGTGTTGAGGTTGAGGTCGGAGTTGGGTTGACGTTGGGGTTGGGTTGAGTTGATGTTGAGTTTGAGTTGGGGTGGAGTTGGATTGACGTCGATGTTGGGTTGACGTTGACATTGAATTGAGGTTGAGGTTGAGTTGGTTGACGTTGATGTTGCCATTGAGTTGACGTTGATGTTGAGTTGAGATTGAGGTTGAGTTGAGGTTGAGTTGGGCTGACGTTGATGTTGGGTTGACATTGACATTGAGTTGAGATTGAGATTGAGTTGAGGTTGAGTTGGGTTGACGTCGATGTTGCCATTGAGTTGACGTTGATGTTGAGATTGAGATTGAGTTGAGGTTGACATTGAGTTGCCGTTGAGTTGGGATTGAGTTGGTGTTGAGGTTGAGTTTTGATTAAGACTGAAGATGAGTTGACGTTGAGTTGAGATTGAGTTGAGTTGACCTTGATGTTGGGTTGATATTGGCGTTGACTTGAGGTTGAGGTTGAGTTGGGTTGATGTCAATGTTGCCGTTGAGTTAGGATTGAGTTACTGTTGACATTAAGTTGAGCTTGAGGTTGACATTGGGTTGACATTGAGTTGTGATTGAGGGTGACGTTGGGTTGACGTTGAGTTGAGGTTGAGATTGAGTTGGGTTGACATTGGGTTGACGTTGAGTTGCCGTTGAATTGGGGTTGACTTGCTGTTGCCATTGAGTTGACGTTGGGTTGAGCTTGAGGTTGAAGTTGGGTTGAGGTTGACTTAAGGTTGAGTTGAGGTTGAAGGTGGGTTGACGTTGAGTTGTCTTTGAGTTGACATTGAGTTGCCGTTGAGTTGGGATTGAGTTGGTGTTGACATCAAGTTGAGCTTGAGGTTGACGTTGGGTTGACGTTGAGTTGATGTTGAGGTTGAAATTGGGTTGACGTTGAGTTGGGATTGAGTTGATGTTGAGGTTGAGTTGGGTTGACGTTGAGTTGACATTGAGTTGAGGTTGAGCTGAGGTTGAGTTTGAGTTGTGTTGACATTGACTTGACATTGTTGAGTTTTGAGGGTTCGTTCCGGGCGTTTCCGCCCCGGGAGCGGCTCCGTTGTCGCTCTTCCCACAGATTTGGGATTTTCCCACTGGATTTGGGGGGTTTGTCCTTCCAATCCAACGGGGGGGAAGGGGCCGCTCCGTGCCCGCATTTCCCGCATTCCCAGTGGAATTTTCTGGTCATTCCCAGCGGGATTTTTCCCGGATGATCCCAAATCCATGGGAATTTTGGTGGGATCGGGGCACGGCGGCTCCTGGTTTTCCTGGCCGGGAAAAATCCCTTTTCCTGCTGGAAAAACGGCCCCGGGAATGCGGGAGAACGACCTGGGAAGGGAAAACTGGGATCCAGGGGTGGAAAAACAGGATCCAGGGGCAGAAAACCAGGATCCAGAGGTGGAAAACCGGGATCCAGGGGTGGAAAACTGGGATCCAGGGGCGGAAAACCGGGATTCAGGGGTGGAAAACCGGGATCCAGGGGCAGAAAACCAGGATCCAGCAGGGCAAAAACAGGGATCCAGCAGAAAACTGGGATCCAGGAGCGAAAAAAACCAGGAATCCAGCAGTGGAAAACCGGGATTCAGGGGCGGAAAACCAGGATCCTGCAGCAGAAAACTGGGATCCGGCGGCGGAAAAGTGGGATCTGGGATGGGATTCCTGCAATTCCAACATTCCCTTTTTGCCCTGATCCCGCCTAAATCCCTCCCCGGGATCCGGTTTTCCCGCTGGATCCGTCCCCGAACTTCCCGGGAATGGGAGGAACCTCCCGGAATTCGTCGGATTTTGGGGGAATTTTGTCGCTTCCAGGCCCCAAATCCGGGATTTTTCCAGCCCTTTTCCCTTCCAATTGTCCCAATTCCCAGTTTCCCGCCCTGGGCTGGAGCCGGGGGGGGGGTTGGATCCCCCCCTCATTCCCGTTTTTCCGACTGTTCCCGGCTTTTCCCGCTCGCTTTGGCTTCACTAACCCTGGAAGCTGCTGCTTTTCCTGCTTTCCCTGCGCTCCCGGGACCCCTTGGATCCCAAAATTCCCGGGTTTTCCCCTCCCAAATCCCTCGGGATCATCGGCAGGCCCATTCCTGACGCCGGGAATTCCGGAAAAGCCCCGGGAATTTGGGAAAAACCCTGGGAAATCCTCCCTGGGGGGGTTTGAATCCATCCAAAAAAAGAGGCAAAAAAACCAGGAACGGGGGAATTTTTTGGGAAGCAAAGCGGGAAATGGGATTTTTTGGGGTTTGGAGTTGATTCCAACCTGGAGCCGCTTCCTTGGGAATTCCCAGCTGGAGCCTCCCGGGGTTTTCCCTTCTCCTGCTGCCCAAAAACCCCCGGAAAAGTGGGATTCGAGGCAGGTTTGGGATCCAGAGGGGCGGGGGGGGGGGGGAGTTTTCCCTGGATTTGGGATGGAATTGGGATCCGAAGGGTCCCCAGGGGGGGAGTTTAGGACCCCCCAGAGTGGGGGTTTCCCGGGATAATCCAATCCTGGAGTCACTCCTGGATAATTTCCTCTTGGAATTGCATTTGGAGCCACTTTGGGAATCCACAGGTGGATCCTTGGGTGGTTTTCCTTCATTTTATTCCAAAAACTGTCCTAATTGATGGATTTGGGATGGATTTGGGGCTCCAAGGGGTCCTGGGGGGGGGTTATCCAGGTTTTTCCCGGGATAATCCAATCCTGGAGCCGCTTTTGGAGCCACTTTGGGAATCCACAGGTGGATCTTTGGGTGGTTTTCCTTCATTTTTATTCCCAAAAACTCCCCAATTGATGGATTTGGGATGGATTTGGGACTCCAAAAGGTCCTGGAGGGAATTCAGGGCCCTTCCAGTGGGATTTTCCCAGGATAATCCACTTTTGGAGCCACTTTGGGAATCCACAGGTGGATCTTTGGGTGGTTTTCCTTCATTTTTATTCCCAAAACTGGGAATAAAACTCTGTAATTGATGGATTTGGGATGGATTTGGGGCTCCAGAGGGTCCTGGGGGGGGTTACCCAGGCCCTCCCATGGGTTTTTCTCGGGATAATCCAATCCTGGAGCCGCTTTTGGAGCCACTTTGGGAATCCACAGGTGGATCCTGGGGTGGTTTTCCTTCATTTTTATTCCCAAAACCCCTCCAATTGATGGATTTGGGATAGATGGGATTCCAGAGGGGTCTTGGGGGGGGTTATCCCAGTTTTTCCCGGGATAATTCAATCCTGGAGCTGTATTTGGAGCCACTTTGGGAATGAATTCTTGGGTGGTTTTCCTTCATTTTTATCCCAAAAACCTTCCTAATTGATGGATGTGGGATGGATTTGGGGCTCCAAGGGGTCCTGGGGAGGGGGTTTATCCAGGTTTTTCCCGGGATTTCACCCTTTCCCCCCCCCCCTTTCCCCTCTGGACTAACCTTGTGCCTGTTTTCCTTTGTGTGTTGCAGCCGAAGCTCCCGGGAACGGGAACGGGATCGGGAACGTCCCCCGGGGACCCCCCGGCCCTTCCCGCCGCCCCCCCCATCCCATCCCAGCTCCCATCCCAAATCCCCACCCAAATCCCGACCCAAATCCCGGCTCAGCTCCCGCCCCGCCCCCCTTCCCAACCCCAACCCCTTTCCCGCCCCCCTTCCCGACCCCATTCCCGACCCCCTTCCCAACCCCGGCCGCCCTCGGAGCCGCCCCCCCCGCGCTCCTGCACCCCCCAGAATTCCCAGAATTCCCAGGCTTCCCAAAATCCCCAAAGCCTCTTCGGCATCCCGGAATCCTCTTCCTCCTCCTCCGCCCCCACGGAGCTGCAGCAGCATTCCCAGTCCCCCCATTTCCCGGGAATCCCGCTGGGATCTGGGAAAAACCCCCCCTTGCATCTCCTGCCGGGGGCTTTCCAGCCCATTCCCAACCCCATTCCCAATCCCAATCCCAATCCTGCTCCTCCTCCTCCTCCTCCTCCTCCTCCTCCTCCTGCTCCGCCGAAGCCCGGCCTGGAAAGGTTCCAGCAGGTAAATCCCACCGGGAATTCCCGGGAAAACGGGAATGAGACACGTTCCCCCTTATCCCAACCTCCCCCCCGTCCGGTGGATCCCGGAATATCCCCTGATCCCGTTGTTTTCCAGGAGTTTTGGGAGGGAATTTGGGGAGTTTCTCGGTTCTCCCAAATCCTTGGAAAAGGTGTTGGAAAGGCGGGAATTGGAAGCGCGATCCCGTTTTTCCAGGGAAAAAAACCCTCTTCCCAAATTTCAGTTTGGCTTCAAATCCCACTGGATTTGGGATTTTGGGGGGTCGGTTGTTGGATCCCACTGGACTTGGGGTGTTTAGGAACCGGATCCCACTGGATTTGGGGCATCCAGGGACTGGATCCCGCTGGATTTGGGATTTTGGGGGGGTCGGTTGTTGGATCCCACTGGACTTGGGGTGTTTAGGAACTGGATCCCACTGGATTTGGGGCATTCAGGGACTGAATCCTGCTGGATTTGGGACGTTCAGGATCTGAATCCCATGGATTTGGGATGTCCAGGAACCGAATCCCACTGGATTTCGGATTTTTCTTGGGATTTGGGTGTCGAAACCCCCCAGATTTGGGATTTTAGGGGGATTCGGGTGTCGCATCCCACCTGATTTGGGGGTTTGATGTCTCTGGATTTGGGAATTAGGGAAGATCATGGTTATCAAATATTTCTGGTTTCGGAGTCGTTCTTGGGATCTGGGGGTTTGATTCCTCTGGATTTGAGATTTACGGGAATCCTGGTGTCAAATCCCTCTGGATTTGGGATTTCGGGGGGATTCTGGTGCCAAATTCCTTTGGATTTGGGGTCGTTCTTGGGATCTGAGGATTTGATTTCCCTGGATTGGGGATTTAGGGGTCGGGATCGTTCTTGGGATTGGGGTGTTGGATCCCTCTGGATTTGGGTTTTCCAGGGTTCTCCCGGCTCCGTTTCCCCTCAGATTTGGGAATTTTGGGGGGATCCTGGTGCCAAATCCCTTTGGATTTGGGGTCGTTCTTGGGATCTGAGGGTTTGATTCCTCTGGATTGGGGATTTCGGGGTCGGGATCGTTCTTGGGATTGGGGTGTTGGATTTCTTTGGATTTGGGATTTGTTTTGGGATCTGAGGGTTTGATCCCTCTGGATTTGGGATTTTGGGGTCAGGATCATTCTTGGGATCTGGGGGTTGGATCCCTTTGGATTTGGGGGTTTTTTTTGAGATCTGAGAGTTTGATTCCTCTGGGTTTGGGATTTCTCTTGGGATCTGGGGGTTTGATTCCTCGGGATTTGGGGGTTTCCGGGGCTCTCCCGGCTCCGTTTCCCCTCGGATTTGGGAATTCTGGGGAGATCCTGGTGCCAGATTCCTCTGGGTTTGGGATTTAAGGGGAATCCTGGTGCCAAATCCCTCTGGGTTGGGGGGTTTTTTTTGGGATCCGGGCGTTTGGTCCCTCTGGATTTGGGGTTTCCGGGGGCTCTCCCAGCTCCGTTTCCCGCGGGATTTGGGAATTGTGGGGCCGTTGTGATCTGGGGGTGTGTCTGTTCCCGTTCCAGGTCCCTCAGGGGTTGATCCTGCAGCCGAAGCCGCCCCCGTCCAGCCCCGGAACGTTCCCGGCTCCGGGCGGAGCCTCCGTCCTGGTCACGGCCACGCCCACGGCCCCGCCCGGCCCCGCCCACGGACCCGCCCCCGCCACGCCCAGTAACGCAGGTGGGAACGCAAAATCCCGGGAATTCCGGGAATTCCGGGGTCACGCAGCAGCCCAAAATCCCGGGATCCTGGAATTCCAGAGTCCCATGGCATTCCAACATCCTGGGATCCTGGAATTCCAGGGTCCCACGGCGTTCCAGAATCCTGGAATTCCAGGGTCTCACAGTAGCCCAAAATCCCGGAATCCTGGAGTTCCAGAGCATTCTGGAATCCTGGAATTCCAGGGTCACACAGCAGCCCAAAATCCTGGAATTCCAGGATCCCACAATGTCCTAGAATCCTGGAATTCCGGAGTCCCGCAGCGTTCTAAAATCACAGAATTCCGGAGTCCCACAGCATTCCCAAAATCCCGGGATCCTGGAATTCCAGGGTCACACAGCAGCCTAAAATCCTGGAATCTCAGAGTCCCACGGCAGCCCAAAGTCCTGGAATTCCAGAGTCCCACAATGTCCCAGAATCCTGGAATTCTGGAGTCCCACGGCATTCTAAAATCGTGGAATTCCAGAGTCTCACGGCATTCCCAAAATCCCAGAATCCTGGAATTCCAGAGTCCCAGAGCAACCCAACATCCCGGAATCCCGGGATGCTGGAACCCTGGAGTCCTGGAGTTTTGGAAAGCCAAAATCCCAAGTGTCCCGGAATCCTGGAATTCCGGAGTCCCAACGTGCCAGTGTCCCAAATCCCAGCATCCTAAATCCCGATATCCCAAATCCCAGCATCCCACCATCCCCGTATTCCAAATCCCAGTATCCCAAATCCCAATATTCCACCATCCCAGTATCCCAAACCCCAGTATCCGACATCCCAATATCCCAAATCCCAACATCCCGCCATCCCAATATTCCACCATCCCAATATCCCAAATCCCAATATCCAGTATCCCAACATCCCAGTATCCCAAATCCCAGCATCCAACATCCCAACATCCCAAATCCCAACATCCCACCATCCCAATATTCCACCATCCTAATCTCCCAAATCCCAGTATCCCAAATCCCAGTATCCCAAAATCCCAGTATCCCAAATCCCACTATCCCAACTCCCAGTTTCCCATCCTCCACTTGGGGAATCCCCCCGGAATTCCAACCCGGGCCCTTCCCTTATTCCCCCTCCTTCCCTCCAGCATTCCCGGGATCTCCCGGTTGGGAATCTCCAGAACTTTCCTGGATCTGACTCTTCCCATGATTTCCCAGACCAGAAATCTCTGGGATTTTCCTGGATGTGACCATTCCTGGGATTTCCTGGGCTGGGAATCCCCAGGATTTTCCTGGATCCGACCCTTCCCAGTCTGGGAATCTCCAGGATTTTCCCAGATCTGCCCCTTCCCAGCATTCCCGGGATGTCCCGGGCTGGGAATCTCCGGGACTTTCTGGGATCTGACCCTTCCCAGGCCGGGAATCTCCAGGATTTTCCCGGATCTGACCCTTCTCGGATTTCCCAGTCCCGGAATCTCCGGGATTTTCCTGGATCTGACCCTTCCCTGTGTTCCCTGTCCAGGTGCCCCCTCGGAGAGCAAACCCTTCTCCAGCATTCCCGGGATTTCCAGCGTCATTCCCGCCGGGAAAGGGGCCCCGGCTCCGGGCAAGGCCCCGACTCAGCAGCCCAACCAGGTGAGGGGGCGTTTTCCTGGGAATTCCTCCTCTTTTCCCAACTTTTCCCGCTCCTTTCCTGCTTTTCTCTCCTCTTTTCCCATTCCTTTCATTTATTTCCAATGTTTTTCCCCTGGTTTTCCCACTTTTTTTCCTCAATTTCCTGCTTTTTCGCCTTTTTTTCCAAGATTTCCTCCTTTTTTCCCAAGTTTTCTTTTTTTTCCCTCACTTTCCCCCTTTATTCCCACATTTCCCCCCTTTATCCCCCAGATTCCCTTCTCCAGATCCCAATTTTTAATTTTTTCCCCCCTTTTCCCATTTTTTTCCCAAGTTTTTTTTCCTATTTCCCATTTTCTCTCTCTTTTATCCCCAGGTTTCCCCATTTTTCTTCCCTTTTATCCTGAGTTTTTCCTGTTTATTCCCAATTTTTCCCATTTATTTCCAATTTTCTTCCTTTTTATTCCATTTTCTCCATTTTTTCTCCCTTTTATCCCTGGTTTTCCCTGTTTATTCCCAATTTTCCCCATTTATTCCCACTTTTCCCTCCCTTTTATCCCCAGTTTTCCCCATTTTTCCTTCCTTTTATCCCCAGTTTTCCCAATTTTTCTTTTCTTTTATTCCCAGTTTTCCCAATATATTCCCAATTTTCCTCCCTTTTATCCTCAGTTTTCCCCCTTTTTCCCTGTTTATCCCCACTTTTCCCTGTTTATTCCCAGTTTTTTCCCCCTCTCGGGCCTCTTCCCCCTTTCCCAGCCCCGGGAATTCCCGCGCTCATCCCGGTTTTCCCGGTTTTCCGCAGGCGAAGCCGGGTGGGATCAAAGGCCCCCCCCAGACCCCGGGGGGGGGGGAAGGGCCCCCAGACAATGGTGAGTCCCCAAATCCCGGGAATTTGCTCCCAAATCCTGGGAATTCGCCCCCAAATCCTGGGAATTTGCCCCCAAATTCTGGGAATTTGCCCCCAAATCCTGGGAATTCACCCCCAAATACCAGGAATTCAACCCCAAATCCTGGGAATTCGGCCCTAAATCTTGGGAATTTCCCCCCCCCCGCCCCAAATCTGGGAATTGTTCCAAGTGTCAGGAACTGCCCCCTAAATCCTGGGAATTCACCCCCAAATCCTGGGAATTTGGCCCTAAATCCCAGGGAAAGCTCTAAATCCTGTGAATTTGCCCCAAATCCCGGGAATTTTCCCCCGGAGAATTCACCCCAAACCTGGGAATGATCCCAAATCCTGGGAAACTCCCCCGAAATCCTGGGAATTCCTCTAAATCCTAAGAATCTCCCCCCACCCCCCCAGATCCTGGGAATCCCCAAATCCCGGGAATTGCCCCCAAATCTCAGGAATGACCCTCAAATCCTGGGAATGGCCCCCAAACACCGGGAATCACCCCCAAATCCTGGGAATTGCCCCCAAATCCTGGGAATCACCCCCAAATCCCGGGAATTGCCTCTAAATCCCAGGAATTGCCCCCAAATCCTGGGAATTGCCTCTAAATCCCGGGATTTCCCTCCTGTGTCCGCAGTTGGAGGGGCTGAAGAAGGCGCCGGCGCTGCAGCCCAGTAAGGAGGCCTGGTGAGTACTGGGAATACTGGGAATGCTGGGAACGCTCCAGGCTGGGAATTCCGGCCGGGAACGGGGCCGGGAGCCGGGAATTCCGTCCCCATTTAGGCAGGAAATGGGGAATTTTGGGGGAAAATTGGGGGTTTTGCCCCCATTGATGCCAGAAATAGGGAATTTTGTCCACGTTGGTGCCGGAAATCTGGGAATTTTGTGGGAAATTTGGGATTCCTGTCAACATTACTTCCAGAAACGGGGAATTTTGTTTTTGTTGATGTGGGAAATCTGGGAATTTTGAGGGATATTTGGGATTATTTCTCCCCGTTGATGCCAGAAACAGGGATTTTTGTCCCTGTTGACGTGGGAAATCTGGGAATTTTGTGGAAAATCTGGGAATTTTGCCGCCATTTTTGCTGGAAACATGGGATTTTGTCCCCGTTTCTGTTGAAAACAGGGAATTCCATCCCCCTGGACACCAAAAATGAGGAATTTTGTCCCTGTTGATGCTATAAATGGGGAATTCTGTCCCTGTCGATGCGGGAAATCTGGGAATTTTGTGGAAAATTTGGGATTTTTGCAGGAAATTTGGGATTTTTGTCCCCGTTGATGCCAGAAACGGGGAGTTTTGTCCCCATCGACGTGAGAAATCTGGGAATTTTGTGGGAAATTTGGGATTTTTTGTCACTGTTCATGTCAGAAACAGGGAATTCCGTCCCCACTTGTTCTGCAAATTGGGAATTCTGTCCAGGAATGCATAAAAAGATCTGGGAATTCCACGGGCAGTGACACCGGGAAAGGGGGAATTTTGTCCTTGTGGGCGCCGGGAAGGGGGAATTCCGTCCCTAATTTGGGAATTGCATCCCGAATCCCAACCGCAGCCTCCTGGAGCAGCTGCACAAGCACCAGGGCTCGGTGCTGCACCCGGAATTCCGGACCCGCTTCCGCTCCGTGGGCGACGCCCTGAGGAGGCTCCTCCCCTACCACGTCTACCAGGGGATGCTCCCGGCGGAATCCGAGTGCCAGAGGGGTGAGAGAGGCTGGGAATGATGGGAGAGCGGGGCTGGGAATGGCGGGATAACGGGATAACGGGGCTGGGAATGGCGGGAGAGTGGGATAACAGGGGTCTTTCCCATTCCCATTCCCGTTCCCATTCCCAGGGTGAGTCCAGCCATTCCCATTCCCATTTCCTATTCCTGTTATCCCAGGGTGACTCCGACCATTCCCATTCCTATTCCCATTCCCATTCCTGTTCCC